CGTCCGTGGGATTCGAACTCTAGACCTGCCACTTGGGGGTGCAGCAACCCCACCACTTCACTAGGTCGCCACACCCTCATTAATAAATTATAAATGCGATAAATTAACTTATTCTCTTTAAAAAGCCAAAATTATTTTCCTTAGAACTGGTCAATATCTCAAATTCAATTATGTTACGTGCTCCAATACTGAAAATAGAAGTTCAACAACTTCCACGAACTGGCCTTGACGGAAGAACGAGATACTTATAATAGTCGAAGAGGTGATCGAAGAAATAATGGTCGAGATGCTAACTAGCAAAATAATTGAGAGAATAACTTTAGAAATAAGCCTAGTTGGAAAAATGATGGTGCTTATAATGAATGAGAGACTAATACTAGATGGGGAAGTTATGACCAAGAGAATAATTTACTAGTTGGTGAAATAACAATTATAGAGATGATGTACGAGACAAAAGCTGTAAATCTACAAGAAAGGCCAAAGCGAAAAGGGTTCTAAACGTAAATTATATACATCAAGTGATAACGTAAGAGAAAACTTATCAGCTAAGAATTGTAGTAATAACAGATAATAGACGTAGTGTAATAGCGATTATATATATGTAGTATGATTGGGCAGTTTTTATAATAGCCTCACGTGCAATCGCTCGAGACACTGATTTACTGATCTTTCATTGCTTAATTCATGTTCACCTCTTTCGAGTCACCTTCACATTAGTCGCATGCTATAGAAATGATTCCCGGTAATCAGAATTTCCACCTTTTCCACAATGTCAATGATGAGATCTGTATACTGTATTTACCACAAAATCCTGAAAGCCATTTTCCTAAAAGAACATAATATCGACTAAATTGACTAGCATTATAACTAATGCCAGCTAACTTTGTCGGTATTAGGTCCTTTCGGGAACCTGTCTTTAGAGATTTTATGGTAAAACCATTCAGTTCAAATCAGTAGACCGTGATTATTTATAAGTATATAGTTAATAGTGAAAAAAACTTACTGGTGAAATTAGGACTTACTAAAGGTTTCTATTTTTTATTACGACTATAGAATAGAATTGAAAAGAATAAATCAAAGCATTAATTTATTATTAAAAGTGTGCTGAACTGAGAAATGCAGAAGGAATATTTACTGTTATTTACTGTTATGAATTTGATATTGGGTTGAAAAGATAAATGTAAAGCATTATTTATTCATTATTATAAGGAACATAATAGTAGATTTTTAACTTTGGATGTTGTTACTAAGGTTGAAGAGGTTGAACATAAGCCATTCGTTTGTTATCAAAAATTTGCTGAGATTGATGATGCTGATGAAACGTTGAAAATTGACTATTGTTATCAAATTGAATTGGTGTTGAAAAGGATGAATATAGATAGGTATTTATTTGTTATCAAAGATAGGTTATAAATTATGCTGGCGGAATGCCTAATGCTTGTTATTATAGAATAGAGTTGGAATCAGAAAGAAACCTGATATAGGTAAGCCAGTAGAATATTGTGTCATTACTAATTATTATCATAAGACTGGTGTTAAAAAAGTATTTGAATGTTTCAAAAATCTACTAATAGGTTATTTTGGCAGAAATTTCAAATACGTATACAGTAGATCATTATTGAACATGAAAGCATTTATTCGTCATTGAAAATTCGTTGATATAGGTGGCATTCTTGAAATAAATATGTTGACAATTGTTTGTTATCGAAGTGGAACTAGTGCTGATGAAATGCTACTTTAAGTAATCTAAATAAGAAATTTACAGCTAGATTCTGATTTTTTATTGCAAAGTTTTATTTATGATAGGAAATTTCTTGACATTAATATTTTTTATGTATTTATTATATAGCATCGTGTATATATACTTAACAATAGTTAATTTTAATTATTATAGCATATTTTATTATTAAAATAAATAAATAATTGGAGTTTCAGAATTAACTTATTTTTGAAAATATCAAATGTTAAAAGCTTGTTAGTTTATTTATCAATATATATATGCTTTGAACGATCTTTAAAACAAAAAATTGTTAATCGGCCACTGGGCCCCTGTCATTCCAATCGCTCTTTTATTTTACAAAAAATATTGCGAAGAAAGATTTAGTCTTATCATAATAGGTTTTGGCGAGTAGTATCAAAACAACATCCTCTTTTTCTGGACCAAGTTCAATGCTATTTATATAATTTTCATCTTGAATATTATAGTTAGAAGTAATCTTGACAACCTCTTTACAAGGTCGTCTTTGTTGGACTTGGTATTTGACAGTTCAAAATCAAATTTTGATTGAATTCTGTTACAATCATAACTTTGATTATAGTTTCTTCTATTGTCACGAACTCTACAATTTTGTTAGTTTCTTCCAGAATGGGGTTATTGTTTGGTACTAAACAATTGTTACTTATAACTATTGGCGTATATATATTTAAAAAAATCATTAGAATTTCATATTATATGAAAATTATAAAAAAGTAAAAGCTAGTTTAAAAGAGCAACCTTGCTTAAGAAATATAGTTGAGCCTGTAAAGTTGACACTATTAAGTATGCTTACGTAACGTACATCAGATCTTGGTATGAGATTGATCTTGTTGTACTCAACATATTTAACATTGTTCATCTTTGTCTCATAATGAAAACGTTAGATTGAAACTAGCCTATTATTGTCAACTAAACCTTACTTTTAGGTCAGAGCTAGAAAAGTACTAATATTGTAAAACCAGAACCTATTATGATTTTTGTTAAAAAAATGGGGCAGGTAGCCCCAAAAATACCAGTAACGCATGTAGGTAGTTGGCTTGCATTAACTTAATTTAACTCGGTGCTCTTCATTAATTTAGCCAAAATTAGTTTTTCAAATTTTTTAAATCCAAAAAAAAAAAGAAAATTTGGTCTAATTCATGATAAAATTGATCTGGAAAGATGTTTTAATAAATGAAAGCCTATGGTTTCATTAATGACTTTTGTCAATATGCATTAGTGAAGGGAGCGTCTTTGGACGGTTGTATATCAGAATCCCGACACACAAAATCCTGACACACAAAATCCTGGCAACAAAATCCCAATACACAAAATCCCGACAAATTAAATTCCTAATTTTAATATTTTTAGGATTTTAATTTGTCAGGATTTTGTGTATCGGGATTTTGTTGCCGGGATTTTGTGTGTCAGGATTTTGTTTGTCGGGATTCTGATATACAACCTCTTTGGACACTTACCATTTCACGAGAATTTGTATGTACATACGTATAATGATAATAAAGTGGTAAGTACAAATTCACATGAAATGGTAAATGTCCGGAGATGCTCCCATTAGTGAATCATCCAGGGTGGCCCGCTGCGATATGTTTCACATAATTAAAGATAAAAGGCATAGAATGCACATGGGTGAGATGTGAATGGTGGAAAGGTGTTTGACAGGAGAAAATTGACAAAATCTAAATAAGAAATCGCATAATTTGACCTTGATTGCACGTATAATTTACCCTATTGCCTCTAGGTTAGGGTTACATGCCATGTACTACAACCCTGCCTCGATAGCGCAAGTTGGGGATCAAAAGAGATATCAAACCACATCAATTTTTATGCGAACGTAGATACGTAACAGAAAAGCCACTAACCTCAAACTATATAAAAGAGCGATGAATAAATCAATTCTCAACATTCTTCTCTTTTCTCTTGCAACACAACCAAAGCATTATTCTTGACCCAGCCCTTTCCACCACACACAGGGGAACACACTCCTGATTCTGCTATTTTCCTATTTAACAGCCGGCCTGCTTCGAACAGGTGAGAAACCACTGGCTGATGCTGCTTCTCACTTATTCTACTTTTATGATAATACCGGGCGTAATTTTACTTGCTAATTTTCCCGGGAGCATATCATTGTTTCAAATTACTCAGTTCAAATTACTTACAATGAATTCTGCGGACTTGTCATTTCCTTTGGCTAGCCGGCATTCTTCCAATCACATGACCAATCGTACCTATGCTTTTCGACTGAATAAATTCAACCTTGCACGTGATGATTTCATGATAAGTAAAATACCAAACCTGGATTCACGAGAAAGTGAAAACCCAATTGCCAACTCTGTTCAGTTTCGCATTGTTAGAAAAAAATGAAACAATGCAGGATACCGATTTTACCTATTTTCGCTTATAATTAAAACTTCTAAAGTAAGCAAATAAGGTTAGTAAAATACAGTAATGTTCTACTTATTCCTTTTTGGAAGCAAAGTCTAAACTTTTCTTTTGTTCTTCATGTGTATAAAATATGCAGTATCTCTCAACTATTTTAAGAAATTTAAGAAATGTACGGGGTGCTCGGGTTACTAATTGTGCAGTAAGTAAATCGTTCGATAACCCGTAATATCCCTGTACTTAAATTTTTCTAGATGTATCAAATGTAAATCAGTAGCACTGCCTCCATATTATTTTAAGGAATAATAAAATTTTAATAGAATGAATTTTCCTAAAAGCATTAAATATAAAATTTAAATTAATGAAATACATTAAAGACATAAGCCAAATATTGTTATAACTACCTCCTAAACTTGAAAATAATCACTTCATACTTGCATGAACTTCTATTTCAAATAATTAAAAAACTTATAGCCAATTGTTAATATATTCATTATAAATGCAACCGAATTCAGACCATAGCTCTAATTTCTATTCGATTAAATATTCTGATAATTAATAACCTCTGATAAATTTTTCTTTTTCTTGCCATTCTCATTTTTTCTTCTATTCTCTTTTTAGTTTTCTTTTTTCTCTTTCTCTCTCGCATTTTCAGTTTTTCTTTTTGTTTGGATTTTCCTTTCTTCGGTCTTGGTTATTTTCTTCATTCTCTTTTCGATCTCTTTCTATCTTCTTTCCGTTAATTCTTTTTCTCTCTTTTTCTACACTCTAATAAAAATGCAAAACCCAATTACTTCGAAATATGATAGATGTTATATCTACAAAAAACTGACTAACAAATATCAAGAATTCTGTAATGCATTTGCATACAATCGAATAGTCAGCGATGAGGATCCAAAATATCTGAAAGAAACTGTGTAAAGAATCTAACAATGCTTGAAAAGAAATTAAAAATAAACCCAAGAATGAAATTGAAAATTTTATAAAACACCTAATTACAAATGCTGATGCTACTATTCAATACCTAAATCCTCTCAAAATTTTAAATACTGCTATTCCAATTTAAAATCGAGTAATTGAGGAAGCAGTTACCATTAATACAGCGCCACCAAATGCTGCAGCACAAAAAAAGGCAATAGAGACCATTGTTAAAACAAATAATGAAATTACAGAGTGCCAAAAGGCCTATAACTCAACAATTGATCAAGAGACTCAGCGTGAGCTAATGGATCAAATAAATAGCCTTAAACATGTTCTTAATGCAGAAGACAAGAAAATCCAAATCCTAAAATGAAATACTGCCTGCTAGCATAAATATAAAGAGAAAAAAGACAAAGATTTAACAGAAAATCAACAGGTTGTGAAGTATAACTCACCTGGGCACCCTCCTTTGCTGTACAAGTACCCAAACTTACTAGATCACATTCATGAAAGCATTGAGTTCGGGGCTGCTGATAGCAAAAGTTAAAAGAAGTTATTAAGGTTCGAACAGTGAGTCATTTAAAAGAAGAATTAGAATCAAAATATAACAAACATCTCTCTCACTCTGCTATGAGCAGTTACCTTTTGCCACGTCGTGCAACCTCAATAAAAGCAAAAAAACACCATCATCTGACAAATGTTCGGGTCAGTAATATGATTTGTATTCTACGTTCATATAATATAAAAATATCTAATTATATGCAGATTAGAAGTTATCCATTTTTTTTAACATTAAAAAATCAATAATAATATGCTTCATACCTTGTTAATTTCTACCTGCTAATAATACTGATTCAGGTCACATCTGTATCAAAAAACGAAAGGGAAGAACATAAAGATAAGCATTATTGTTTTGCCTCTGTAAAGGCGGCAAGACAATTTGTCTTCCTTTTTTCGATCTTGGCTGTAATTGTATCACAAGATGACAAAGCCAAGATCCCTCTCAGCATTTCTGCAGTAGGTCAGAGCTTCCGAACCCTACAAAGTGATAATGAGCCGTCATTGTCCCAGATCACAATTTTCCTGTTGGCATATGACAGAAGCTTGTTCTCTCCGTTTACCTTCTTATTGATCCTAGTAATACCAACGACATGCTTCGTAATAGCCAGTTATCAATATTCATCTATCCGCAATATGGGTTGAGAACAAGCTCTGTTACTCATATGGAAGACTTATATTCATTAGTAAATAATGTTAGTTTTGACAATATTTTGAAGTCCGATGATGAAATCAAACCTATTTGGGTTCTCATTGTGATGGAGGCCCAGATGAGAACCCCAGATATTTAGAAAACATCAAACAGTATTGCTAAATGTTCTGCTCATTTGACCTTGATTATTTGACTGTTAGGACTCATGCTCCAGGTTAGTGATCTAGATCGAATAAAATTATTATCAACTTGATCAAAATTACAATTTCTAGTAAATATTAAGCAATTAGTTAACTAAGCATTTGTTTATTCTATTAAATTACTCTAGGTCATTCAGCATATAACCCTGTTGAGAGGGGTATGGCATCTCTTTTCAAAAAACTTGCAGGCATAGTCCTGCCTGTTGACAAATATGGCACTCACCTTAACTCACAAGGTAATGTTATTGACCCAGAGCTGGCAAAAAAAATTTCGAATATGCAGATAACGTCCTTTGTGATCTGTGAAAATGAGATCAAATCTTCGGGAAGCTGGTCGTGACTGAATACGTCGACACAGAAAGTACCCCAGCTTCAGATATTATAACCTGAGAATGGTTAGAAGTCTATACGAAGATTTGTAGATATTCTCTAGATGTAAAAAAATATAATAACATCAGATGCTGCCCTTCTAAACAGTGCGAGGAGGCTGCTAGCCTTCTCACCTCAAATAATAGCTTTCTTCCTCCCCTTGTAAAGGAGAATGATGGCTATTATGTTAACTCAATACATTTACTGGAATATCTTGATATAGATAAAATTTCAGGTTATGACAAGCACTGTCCTTCTGTGGCTAAAAATTATGAAAAACTTTCCTGCTCCGTTTGTGAAAAGTATTTCTCAACAGCAACAATGGTTGCTACTCACAAAAAAAGCCAGCATCCAAACCAAGTTAAACGTGAAAGGCCCAAAAAAGATGTACCTGCAAAAAAACAAAAAACAAAAAAAACATAAATTATTATTATTTTTTAATTAGGCAGGGCAAGAATATTAATCATATAAAATAGAAAGATTTATATGTAGTACTAAATACAAGTATACTATATACAACTTTCATAAAATATTCAAATAAAAACTTTAGATCAAACATACAAGAGAAATTTACAAGCGTTGTAAATAATCGATAGAAAAGTTCTTACCGTTATCTAATTTATTATGAGCCATAGCATGTAAATTGCACATGAATTTGTACTAGTACGATCACATGAATGTGTAACATGAAATGCGAGGGGATAGTTCTATTCAACTTTTTTTGATATAGCCTATGCTGATTTTGGAAAATTTTTTTTTTTAGAAAGTGTTAACACATTTACATAACTATGCCATTATGTAATTGTGTGTACATATGACATATGACTATGTGAAAATAATAATTAATCTATAACTAATTCAGAGTTCATCCATTTGATTTTTTTTTAATTATTATACGTATGGTGCAGGAAATCTAAAAACTTTAATGACTTTATATTAAATAAAGGTTAATTAACTCATTGAAGATAAACTAAATTTGTCATTCTCAATAGCATGCTATTTGTATAAAAACAATAAGCAAAAAACAATATATATGCAAAGAGATTCCCTTCGCTTATTGAGATTTCATCTATATATAGAATATTGAGGTTTTTAAATTTCCTGCACTGTATGTATAATTTTTGTATATATTATGATATTTTTGATCATTTGCACTATAATGTTATCATAATCAATTTATGAATTAATAATTAGTACATAACGATAATGATCACATGACTAGTACGTGTCTGTAAACTTTCACTCGCTTTGAGTCTTGTGCTGGTTTTAGCACAACTAGTTGTATACGTTTGGTTTGCTCAAATAGACTTTTATTTAAGTTTTTAAAAGTTACGACCAAAAATATATTTAAAAATTTAATCTCGAAAATAAAAAGTTATGACCAGAAATACATTTAAAAATTTAATCTCGAAAATAAAAAGGTACGACCAGAAAATTTAATCTCGAAAATTATTACTGTATAAACAAGTTTCTATTAGTGAAAGTGGTTTGCAAAAACCTTGACCATCTAAGAAAATTATTCATCAGAAAGAATATCTAATTTTTAAGTAGTTAACAATAAGAATCTAAAAATCACTACTCGGATATTATTAATAATATCATATAATCTTCTTTTTTAGATTATTTAAAATTATCTCCAATAATTCAGGCATGTTGGCTATAAATTATTTAAAATAATCTTCATTTAGATTATTTAAGATGATCTTCATTTAGATTGTTCAAAATGATTTCCAATAATTCTAGCATGTCACCTATAAGTATTTTTAATGCCAGATGTGAAAAGTATCACGGTGATAGCCAATACTTCTGGTATTTGCTGGGTTTGGGAGTGACGCTGCAGCATTAAATTATAAAGTATTCATTTTCTTCATCAATATATATAACTTTAAGTTATATATATATACCATATCCTTTGTTATTCTTGTTAATAACATATGAATAATCTCACAACAATCCTCTAGTAATAAATGTGTATTGTTTTGTAGTCAACGTGATTCTCACTTTAAGTTGTAGATAGATAGGACTATATGTTATACCAGTTGCTGAGTATGTTCTTTAGTAGGATGATCAATACTCTTGTAATGAAAAAAAAAATTATTTATATAAACAAGATAGAATGTGAAGGTTTGTTTAAATAGAAGTATTTATAATTTAGAAAAGCAAATTAATCTCTTTATTAAGATTGTATAATGGAGTGTATGATTAACTGCTGGTGTATATATACAAAATCTTGCATTTGATTTGGCGTTAAAAATCCATGATTTTATATATTATTACTGTTCTGTATTGGTGTAACATATTACTGCTAAGCAGAAACAATTAACCAATTTCGTACAATCAATGAATATTTCATATATGGCAACAAGAAAAAGATACCACTTAGGATACTATACTACCAACAATTGCTAACTCAGCCATTAACTGGCCCAATTCGCAACCCAATCTTCCCTCCCAAAAAACTGATTATCTTCATAATTATAACTATTAAATATCATTATGTTCATGCTGATGGCTGTTTTATATTATATACGTGAACTACTAGCCAGCACTAATGCAATATTAATCGCTATTGATGTATCTTGTAAAACCATCAACCATAATAAGTCAAATTCTAAGAAGGTGAATATATATGATCTAAATGACTTTTCACAAACAGTAATCACTAACTTAATAAAGGTAACAATGAGAATGCCATAGGAAATGCAATTGGCCTTATACCACTTTGTAACAAATGGCTCACAATTCACAAACATCACTATTACGTGTTTATTTGACAGCTGACCTATGCTATGAACTACCGGCCAGCACTAAGCCACATAAACTAGCGAAAGCATATCCTGTTTCAGTTTAAATAGCACACAAATCACAGCTACTATTTTCGTAATTATAACCACTAAGTATCTTTTCAACACCAATTCAATTTGATAACAATAGTCAATTTTTAACATTTCATCAGCATCATCAATCTCAGCAAATTTTTGATAACAAACAAATGGCTTATGTTCAACCTCTTCAACCTTAGTAACAATATCCAAAGTTAAAAATCTACTATTATGTTCCTTATATTAGCAATTATAATAATGAATAAATAATGCTTTACATTTATCTTTTCAACCAAATATTGAATTCGTAACAGTAAATAACAGTAAATATTCCTTCTGTATTTCTCAGTTTATCACACTTTTAATAATAAATTAATGCTTTGATTTATTCTTTTCAATTCTATTCTATAGTCATAATAAAAAATAGAAACCTTTAGTAAGTTCTAATTTCACCAGTAAGTTTTTTTCACTATTAACTATATACTTATAAATGATCATGGCTACTGATTTGGACTGAATGGTTTTATCATAAAATCTCGAAAGACAGGTTCCTGAAAGAACCTAATACTGACAAAGTTAGCTGGCATTAGTTATAATGCTAGTCAATTTAGTCAGTATTATGTTCTTTTAAGAAAATGGCTTTCAGGATTTTGTGATAAATACAGTATACAAATCTCATCGTTGACATTGTGGAAAAGGTGGAAATTCTGATTACTGGAAATCATTTCTATAGCACGTGACTAATGTGAAGATGACTCGAAAGAGGTGAACGTAAATTAAGCAATGAAAGATCAGTAAATCAGTGTCTCGAGCGATTGCATGTGAGGCTATTATAAAAACTGCCCAATCATACTACACATATATAATTGCTATTACACTACGTCTATTATCTGTTATTACTACAATTCTTAGCTGATAAGTTTTCTTTTACGTTATCACTTGATGCATATAATTTATGTTTAGGACCCCTTTTGTTTTGGCCTTTCTTGTAGATTTACAGCTTTTGCCCCATACATCATCTCTATAATCGTTATTTCGCCAACTAGTAAATTATTCTCTTGGTTATAACTTCTCCATCTAGTATTAGTCTCTCATTCATTATACTCACTATAATTTTTCCAACTAGGCTTATTTCTAAAGTTATTCCCTTGATTATTTTGCTAGTTAGCATCTCAATTATTATTTCTTCGATCACCTCTCTGACTATTATAAGTATCTCGTTCTTCTGTCAAGGCCAGTTCGTAGAAGTTGTCGAACTTCTATTTTCAGTATTGGAGCACGTAACATAATTGCATTCGAGATATTGACCAGTTCTAAGGAAAATAATTTTGGCTTTTTAAAGGAAATAAGTTAATTTATCGCATTTATAATTTATTAATAGTTTATCAAACTAATTTATTGTTTAAACTTACAGTAACTCGCAAATGGCATGCTAAATTACAAATACTTAAAGATGAATGAGGTAATATTTTAAATTCATACTGATTGACATTTTGCAAGACAAATGCACTAATAAAAATGCACGCTCTTATATCGCTAGGATTAATAAGTTTGATGATTGGCGATAAGTAAAGGTAAGTAGTGAGGTTAATAGTATAGTTGGTGATTAGTTAGATTTAGCATAATTTAGGGATAAGTTAGTTATAGAGTTATATTCATTATATTACGATGTAAATATCTAAAATGAACCTTAATTTAGGTACTCTAAATCATAAATAAACTGTATAATTCATACTGATTTGACAATAAAAAATAGCATCTAATCTTCGTAGCCAATAAAAAAGAACTGTTATACTATGAACTGTTATAACTGTTAATTATTAACAGTTAACCATTATTTACTGCACTACATAAAGCTGTTATGGCATTACTGATCTTGTTGAGAAAAATAATTGTTACTATGCTATATGAGCTGTTATACTATATCACCGTTAATGATATGTTTAATGGTTTTAAGGGGTCAGGGTTTTGGATATAGAGCCATTATGACATCACAATTTAAAGAGTAATATAACCGTTAATGAAAGGTTAACAGTTTTAAGGGGTCAGAGGTTTTGTATATAGGGCTGTTATGATGTCATAATTATAAGCGTAATATAACCGTTAATAAAAGGTTAACAGTTTTAAGGGTCAAGGGGTTTCATACCTTTAAGAGTAATATAACTTAATTAAAAGCAGGAGGTTCTGAGTCCTTAGATTTTTGAGCTGTTAGGTTCCAGTTACTTGGGTCTGAGGGGGGAGGTATATTTATCTAATAAGTGGAAGCTCCATAACGACGAACAAAGTATGACAACACATGCTCCTAAGATCAGTCTTACTCAACAAGTTGCAGATCCAGATGTTAATGTTCCTGAGGTTTATATTCCTGACCCAGTTAACATTAATCCTAATTCGATTGCAAACATTGAGAAAATTCTTTCATATATAAAGGTAATAGCGGGTATTAGGGATGGAACTCGTAAGTGGGTGGCGGTGACCTGCGATAGTGTTCCATACTATTATGCTATCAAGTTGAAGGAAAAGTTCCCTTGGTTGTTTATTATACTAGAACAATTGCATAAACAAATGAATATGCTTCGTGTATATGTAGAATTGAATTGGTAAATGTTTTTATTAAGATTTATATTTTAATTGCTTTTAC